GCATTATTCACAGTAGGCAAGATCTGGAAACAATATAAGTATCCATGTATGGCTAGATGGATAAGTAAAATGTAGTATATAAATAAAATGGAGTATTATTCAGCCTTAAAAAAAAAGGAAATCCTGCCATTTGAGACAACACTGATGAACCTGAAGGACATTACACTAAGTGAGATAAGCCAGTCATAAAGACAAATACTGCATGATTCCACTTACCTGAGGTATTCAAAACAGTCAAACTCATGGAAAAACAGAATAAAACGGTGGTTTCCAGAGGCTGGGGGAAGGGGGAAATGGGAGGTTGATGTTCATTTGGTATAAAGTTTCAGTTACGTAAGATGAATAAGTTCTAAAACTATGCTGTACAATATTGTATTACTTAACTAATTACTATAATTGTACAATATTGCTATACTTAACAATACTGTATTGTGAACCTAAAATTTGTTAAGATGGTAGATCTCAAGTAAAATATTTTTATCGCAATTAAAAAGAGACTTTTAATAGAGAAGCCACTGATGGGACTCATGACCACCAACTTTATTTTTCAATCCAAGGATCTAATTTCAAAGCCTCCATCAATCTCCTGACCCGACTTTTCACTGAAAAACAGCTCCTCAACAATCTGTTCCTGCAATCATGGTTATCACTTAAACTTTCATAAACCATGGAAAATAAGGCATTTGTATTAAAGAGTAGTGCTAAGATGCTAATGGAAACTCACCAATTAAAGTGCTGGTCAAATCCATATTGGGAAGAGGCCCCTGGATTCCACAGAGACTGGTGGCCAACTGGGCAGCTCCTAGAAGCACTGAAGTTATCAAGACCCAGGAAGCCTACTAATTACTTAAATACCTTCCTATTTTACCCCTTCATTTAACATTTAAGACCTTGAAAGAATCAGATGAACCAAGCAGAAGTTGAATTTTAAGTGGAAGTATAGATACTACCAGGTAGTTTTGCATCTACCTTAACATAATACTTTTCAAAATATGACACTGATTCTGGGCTTCTTAGTTTTTATATATAAAAACATTTTGGTCTCTGTTACGTTCAAGTGCTCTTGTATCCTCATTATCATGAATGGTCATTTATTGAAAACACAGAGAACCTTTTTTCTCTTATGCACTTTGCATATTTTCCTCAGCTTCTCCTAGAACACATTTTATTTCACCATCAAAGGGCAATGAAATGATAGAAAAAAATTACATAGGTGAATTCTTCTTTGGCATCAAGTCATGGATAATGCCAAACTGCGTTGAATCCTGGACAGATAGCAACTCATCTTATGCAACTATTATACAAAGTATGTCAGCCGACAAAACTTGAAAGGCAGAAAATAGGGCATACTCCTTTATGCCTTGAAGGAAGGGAAATAGACTAACAGTAGCTGGACTCATCTGTTCTTTGCTGCTATTGTCAGAATAAGCCAAGAGATGCATTAGCTCAGAAAAGAATTGTGCTGCTTAACAAGATGGGGGAAGGGAGAGAGGATAAAAGGAAAATGTGAAGTACAATGTAAGCCCCGTATCATTGAAATATAGATCTTTCTTCCACCGAAAAATGAAAAAAAAAAAAAGAACCCTGAAAACCTACTTTATATATTTTTTTAAAAAGACATAAAAAATTATTTGCAAAGAACGTATCTGATAAAGGATTATTATCCAAAATGTAAAAAATACTCTTAAAATTCAACAGTAAGGAAACCACCCAATTAAAATATGGTCCAAATACCTGAATAGACATGTCACCAAAGAAGATATACAGATAGCAAATAGGCATATGAAAAAAATGTTCCAGGTCATATGTCACCAGGGAAATGCAAATTAAAACAAAAATGAGATACTACACATCTATTAGAATGCCCAAAATCCAAAACCCAACACCAAATGCTGGCAAGGATGTGGAGCAATAGGAACTCTCATTCATTGCTGATGGAAAAGCGAAATGGTACAGACACTTTGGAAGACAGTGTGGCAGTTTCTTACAAAACTAAACATACTCTTGCCATAAGATACAGCAATTGCACTCCTTGGTATTCACCCAATGAAGTTGAAAACTTATATCCACACAGACAGCTGAGCATGAATGTTTATAGCAGCTTTATTTATAATTGCCAAAACTTGGAAGCAATCAAGATGTCCTTCAGTAGGTGAATGGATAAACTGTGGTACATCTAAACAATTGAATATTATTCAGTGCTAAAAAGAAATGAGCTATCAAGCAATTAAAAGATACGGAGTAAACTTAAATGCACATTACTAAGTGAAAGAAGCCAATCTGAAAAGGCCACACATTATATGATACCAACTATATAACATTCTAGAAAAGGCAAAACTATGGAGACAGTAAAAAGATCAGTGGTTGCCAGGGAGTAGGGGAAGGGATGAATAGGCGGGGCACAGAGGATTTTTAAGGGAAATAAAACTACTCTCTATGATACTATAGTAGTGGATATACATCATTAAGCATCTATCAAAACCCATAAAATATACAATACCAAGAATGAACCCTAATGTAAACTATGAGGTTTTGGTGATAATGATGTGTCAATGTAGGTTCATCAATTGAACAAATGTACCACTCTGATGGAAGATGTTGATAATGGAGAGGCTCAACACATGTGGGGGCAGGGCATATATGGAATATCTCTGTACCTTTCTCTCACTTTTGTTGTGAACCTAAAACTACCGTAAAAAATAAGGTCTATTAAAGTCAGGTAGTATGATACCTCCAGATTTTTGGACAGGATTGCTTTGGCTATTCAGGATCTTTTGTGGTTCCATATACATTTTAAAATTGCTTTTTCTATTTCTGTGAAGAATGTCATTGGTATTTTGATAGGGATGGCATTGAATCTGTAGATCACTTTGGGTAGTATTGTCATTTTCATAATATTAATTCTTCCAATCCTTGACCATAGAATATCTTTCCATTTTTTGTATCCTCTTCAATTTCTTTCTTCAGTGTTTTATAGTTTACCTTGCAGGGATCTTTCACTTCTTTTGTTAAATTTTCCTAGGTACTTTATATTTTTTGTAGCTATTGTAAATGGTATTGATTTCTTGATTTCTTTTTCAAATTGTTCACTGTTGGCATATATAAATACTACTGATTTTTCTACATTGATTTGGTATTCTCCAACTTTACTGAATTCATTTATCAATTTTAACAGTGTTTTTGATGGAATCTTTAGGGTTTTCTAAATATAAGATCATGTTATCTGTGAAAAAGATAATTTGAATTCTTCCTTTCCAATTTGAATGCCCTTTATTTCTTTCTCTTGCCTGATTTATCCGGCTATGATTTCCAAGAAAATGACAAAAACATCTTACTTACGTTGTGGAAGTCATGAGTGTGGTTTAAAGCAATGATTGGATAAAAACTGCTACCACTAATCATTTCAATTAGCTATACAGATCAAGAAAAAAATTTTTTTAAATAACATGGTATATACTTTTGCCACACACAGCTGAGAAATTCAAGTTATGTGTACTAAGATGAAAACAAGAAAAACTAGGCAGAATGAACTGGAGGGGTGGGACTAATTATGCCTGGAATGCAGGAAAAAGAGAAAAGGGTGGGGAGAAATGGAGGGAGGGAGGGGGAAAAGAAGGAGGAAGGGAATCAGGAAACACTACAAAGCTACAAATCAGGGCTTTTTTCCCCTAGAGAGCCAATTTACCAGCACACCACAGGCTCGAGGATCTTAGTGATCATCAAATGTAACCCCTTGGAGAATACTAAAGAGGGCAAGTGGGGTTGGGACACTGGGAAATGAGCGAAAAGCCAAAAGGTGTGAATTTGTGCAGGATGTGCAGGAAAGGGATGTTGAGAAAACCTTGCCCTCTTACCTTCTCCTAGGTTTTAAGACTTGTTCTTTATTCTGGGCCATGCAGTGTGTGTGTGTGTGTGTGTGTGTGTGTGTGTGTGTGTGTGTATGTGCGCACGCACAGCAGGAGAGCAATTGTCATAAATACTTTCACAAGTAGAGAGCCACTCACAGAGTTAAGCCCCCCTAAGTGAACATAGGGCATTTTATGCCTTTATTTCCAGTCTCTAGAGCAACTAAAAGACAAAGCAGTCACAGGTCCCCACCTGGTAGCCAGGAGAGCAAAACCCCAGTACATGTCAGCACAATGATCTCTGCTTACAGATTAGCTAGAAATAATTTACCCACTGCTCCAAATTGCTAGGCTAGACTGGAGTGGCAATTCTTGAGAATTAGAGGAATTAAATGACCAGGTTGGTCCATACCCACTTCCTTGGCCCTTCTCATTTTCCCTGGGTCATTCAAATACCACTCAGCAGGAGCAGACGACACTCAAAAAAGCTCCTTCATTGCGCCTGCTCCTCCTGTTTAGTTGTTATATTCTAAAACCACTCAAGATCGGACGCAGTGGCTCAAGCCTGAAATCCCAGCACTTTGGGAGGCCGAGGTGGACAGATCACCTGAGGTCAGGAGTTTGAGACCAGCCTGGCCAATATGGCAAAACCCCGTCTCTAATAAAAAAAATATATATATATATATATATATATATATATATAAAATCAGCCAGATGTGGTGGCGCATGCCTGTAGTCCCAGCTACTCAGGAGGCTGAGGCAAAAGAATTGCTTGAACCCGGGAGGTGAAGGTTGCAGTGAGCAGAGATCATGCCACTGTACTCCAGCCTGGGCAACAGAGAAAGACTCCATCCCAAAAATAATAATAAATAAATAAAAATAAAAAATAAAACCACTCAGAAAAGAAGCTATTAATGCTCTATCATAATCAGCTAACAGTCACTGCAGTCACTGCATTTACCAATCAGGCTCAGCTTTGCACTCTTACTGTCATCTTCTTTTCCAGGCAGACTTTTCAGCCACAGATATTTAGAGTGACTACTATGTGCCAGTGATACATAGATGTATTTATCTACAGTGATACATGGGTAAGTAAGACATGGACCTTGCCCTCAAAGAGTTTACAACTAAACAAAGAAGACATACATACCTTACCATATCATGAGGCAAAATGAAATGCAGTGCTGAATAGAAGCAGGGGCACAGTGATGTGCAAGTGCCTGGAATCTGGAAAAATTAAGGCCAGGGAGAGTTATAATGAAAAATACTAGCTGATGTTTACTGAACATTTACCATGTGTCATACTCCACAATAAACTTTTCATATAAATCACTTCATTTAATCTTCCCAACCAAATACAATACGTAGCATCATCCCCACTTCACAGCTAAAAAGATAGAGGTATAAAGAGATTAAATAATTTATCCCAAATTATACAGCTAAATGTTGGAATGGGGGTCTACTATGGTTGAATATTTATATTCCCCCAAAATTCATATGTTGAAATCTAATCCCTAAGGTGTTGATATTAACAGATGGGACCTTTGGGAGGTGATAAAGCTGTATGGATGGATTTCTCATGATTAGGATTGGCGTCTTTATAATAGAGGCCCACGGGAGCTTGTTTGCCCTTTTCCTACCACATGAGGACACTGAAAAAGGCACCATCAAAAACCAGAAAACAGGCCCTCAGTAGACACTGAACCTGTCAGCATCTTGGCCTTGGACTTTTCAATGTCCAGAACCGTGAGAAATAAATGTCTGTTCTTTATAAGTTACCCAGTGTGTGATATCTTGTTATATTAACCTGAAGGGACTAAGACAGGGTCTATCTGAGTCTTTCTTATTTCAGAACCAAAGGCACAGTTCAGCAGAAGCTGAAATGAGGTATCATACTCTTATAAGGATGTGGAGATCATTGTATTAATTTAAGGGCTATTAACAGAATTTATTCATTCATTCTTTCAACATGACCCAAGCATTGTTTTAGAATAGTGAACAAAACAGATTAAATCCCCTGTCTTCACGAAAGTTACATTGTAATGAAAGATAAATCCTTTTAGGGAGAAAACTGCATATATTGGAACAAATACCTTAATAAATGCTTGCAGCAGAAGGTAGTAAAGCCCCTCTGATGATAACCAACAGGGACACCCCTATAGTCTGACAAAGTTAAGTTTATTAACTTCCTAAAGCAAGGGAGACCGCACATCAGAGGAAATATGGGGCAACTCACAAAACAAATGAAGTGATAAGGTTATTTGAGATTGGGAAGAACAGAAGAGGGGAGGTAAAATTTAAATGAAGCAGCATTTTGATAGTCTCAAGGTAGAGCAGGGATATTCATAAAGGCATCAGCATCAGGCCTTGGCTCAGAAGTAGACCCAGCCTAAGATACTAGAGAGCAAGGCTTTTTGGCTCTATGTTCATTTGTTAATTAACAAAAAGAATCTGAGTTTATTTTTACAGGTTCAAAAAGGTCATCCCCCAACTCCAATGACCTTAGTGTTAAGTGGCAGCAAGGCCACATAAAAGTAAGGAGGCTGCTCTATCACTGTAGAAGGAAAAGAAGTTAGCATTCTCAGGGCAAGCTGAGAGGCAGGGGGTGAGGAGCTGTGATGGGAAGGGTACAGTCAGAGTGAGATGCATGAAGCCTGGTGGCAAGGGGAGGGGTAATGTGACTGGGGAAAGTCTACTGAGCTCATGGATGGATTTCGAGTGAGAGCAGAAGTAGGAGTGAGAGAGAGAGAAAAAGAAAGAATGAACGAGAGAGAGAACCAGACAGAGACAAAGGCTATGCTTCACACAAATATAGTGTGGGACACGGACAGCATGAGTGCCCAGGAAGTATGAGGCTCCTCTGGAAGTTAACAGAAGTTTTTGGAATGTGTTTGAACTTCCACAGGCCATGAAGTAATTTCACATCATAGATCACAAGAGCAGGAAAACGTCAAGCTAATTTGAAATATATATGACACAGGGCAAATCAAAGACGTCTCAGTTCAACCTGCAGAGAATAAATTTGCAGAACAAATTCCCTCAAGAAATGGACACCTGGATTCAAGTTCTACCTCTATTAGTCAACAACTGACAGATTCAGAAACAGGCAAACAGAAGTGACAATGACCATGGAATAAGCAGTTGAGACAAACAAGATATTAAAAATGTAAGAAAGCCAAGCTGGTTAAGACAGCACTATTTCCATGTACGTACTTCTTCCTCAAGAAGCAGGTGGTTCCATGGGGCCCCTGTGGCCTCACTCTAAAGGTGAAGGTAGGACAATCAGTTACATCTGGCTCATGGAAATCAAGCGTCCACTGTTGTGTTATGCCGATAATGTAGAGAGTGAGCTAAGACTGCAGGCAGGTGGTGCCACCCATGTGCAGTGAGACAAAGATAATTGTAAACTTAACTGTCTAAAATACAATTTAATATCTTGGCATCTTAAGAATATACAACTTTAGCATGATTGGCTGAGCCATTGAAAGTCACCATGTGAATCCAGAGTTATGGTCCTGAGCAAGGAATCACAACTGGAAAGGAGTCAGGTTTCAAGACTTAGTGAGGCAACTCTGTCCTTTAGGGATATTTTATTTATCCCACGCAGTGACCTTAAAATGTTCTTAAGCTAACTTTCCAACAGTTAAAAAATGGGAGCCATCATGTTATTAAAAAAATCAAGTTACCTGCTTCTCTTGAAGAATCAGAAGATCTAACAAGATTTGGCCCATATTCCCATGTCACAAAAAGCAGCTGCAGTGGATGATAAGTGCATTCTCTGTTTCCCTGGAGTCCCTACCACTCCTGATTGTCTCGTACCCAGCCAGTTTCACTGATTTCTATTACTTGGCAGACTCCTGGAGGGGTTTGTAATTCCTGACTAAAGTACCAACGTTCATGGCACTTTGCTGAAAAAGAAGATGAATATATCCCATTTGTTCACTCATATTCTTAAAAAGTGGTTTGGGGACTTTTGTCCAGAATATAAGATTGCACTTTGGTAAGGTTCGTTTTTTCTAGGCTGTGCAAAGGATCATGCTTCCCCTCGCTCCAGACTTCCTTCTTCATTCACTGTATGGTCAGTGTGGTGTCTTCTGTTTGGTTATCAATGTTTGTTTGTGAAGAAGGACAGTATGACCTCTCAGGCAGGAGGACCCTTAGAGTGAAGAAAGCCGTTAGCAAATCAATCCTAAAGTGATTTATTTCCAAGCAGTAGATAGCAAGGAGGCAGTGTATATTTATCATTTGGACAAGGCCTTAATAAAGATAAATTCGGAGTTTGAGTTCCTCTAAGGAAGTGGCTTTAACTTCCGACATATGCCAAAATGCACTTCACAACTAATTAGGTGGCATTCACATATGCTTTGCAAGTGGGTATATAGTTAGGCACTTGGATAAGAGCGATGCATTTGTCTACATTTAGATGTGCCATTGGTGGTCTGAAAAATCAAGGGACTTTGAGACCATGGAGCAACAGCAAGAGTTAAATTCAAGGAGATTCTCAAAGCCAATAATTAATGCATGCTCATTAAAAAATCTATGTCAAGACTGTTTTACTGCAGCACAGAGGGCAAATAAACATTGAATGTCAGTCTTACCTTCATGTGATTAATAAAATCATGATTGCAGAATTCCATTTTTATTTTATTTTATTTTATTTTATTTTATTTTATTTTATTTTTTTTTGAGACGGAGTCTCGCTCTGTCACCCAGGCTGGAGTGCAGTGGCACAATCTCAGCTCACTGCAAGCTCCGCCTCCTGGGTTCACGCCATTCTCCTGCCTCAGCCTCCCGAGTAGTTGGGACTACAGGCGCCCGCCACCGCGCCCAGCTAATTTTTCTATTTTTAGTAGAGACGGGGTTTCACCATGGTCTTGATCTCCTGACCTTGTGATCCGCCCGCCTCGGCCTCCCAAAGTGCTGGGATTACAGGCGTGAGCCACCGCGCCCAGCCAGAATTCCATTTTTATTGTCTCATATGTACATTTGTAGGATCTCTGCAGTCACGCATACACATGCCTACAAGTTGGGGTAAAGGACTGGGGTTGACTCAATCATCCAAATGATCTCAGCAACTAGTACTTTGAGCTCTCTCATTTGGAACTCAGGACCCGGACTAGAATATGGCAAGCTAGGTGCCTAGGGCGCAACATTTAAGAAGGTGCTCATTTCCAGGGCATGCATATGCAAGTTAGTGCCTCCTTAAATTTTGCTCCCTAGGGGCCTGGGTTGCCTCACCCTAGTCCTAGCTCTGTTGAGAATATTTTCATTCTTGAATTGCCATGCTAAAGGTCTCACTGAGGGAATAGGAAGCCGAAAAATGTGGAATACCTACAAAATCAAATGCAGCCATGTGCAATCACAACTTATCCAGACACATTGTGCAGATAATACCATAAACCCTTATATCTAGTCGACAGTAAGGAAAGAGAGGGGTCAGTATACATTAATGGCATGTCTGAATATCCATTTTTCAATTCCAAAGCCTAGTAATGGAACTAAGGGCTAAAAAGATACTGCCAAGTAAAGAGCCTACAGGTAAAAAGTAAAGGATCCCACTGTGAAGTTATGTAGTTTGTGATTGGTACATTAGTTGATTGTACCAGTGGGGCTAATAGAAACTAAAACTCATTTCTTCAACTAGGCTAAGAATCTGTAAAATCTTAATAACATGATTAATTTGCTTGTGAAACCTTTTACATACAGAGTCCAAAAGGGAAACTTCAGCTCTGTCTCATTTATGACAAAGTCGAAGTACAAAATAGTTCTAGTTAGGAGTTCCATCATGCAGACAGGTGTGAGGCAGGAGACCTCAGCTCTTCTTACTTTGCTTCATAAGACTTAGGATAGATTACAAAGTAGCCTCTGTTTTAAACCCTAACCCACTTTATCTTCTCTTCCTTCTTCCACCCTAACCTCCAAGGTCAACACATGACTAAATATGTTAGGACTGAGAAAAGAACGGGCTAAAATGGTGCCAACTTGAGAGGAGTCATTCTTATCCAGCTTTAATTGGTACTCAACTTGAGACTTTCCAGATAGAAGATCACTGAGTGTTTCCAGGTGGGGGAAAAAAAAAGCCACCTCTTCAACAAAACTGATAAAATTGGCTTATGAAGCTCTGTGGGCACAAAGTCACGCTTGTTAAGCAGAGAAGCTCTCTGGAAATGAATTCCAAACATAGGGATTAGCATTTCCTTTGAAATAGTTACAGCACACAGAGGGGG